CTGAGGAGCAGCGTCCAAAACCCTATCCACCCTGCTCGATGCAGCAGATAGGGCGCCGCTGGTTATCCTCGGCGACAGCCAGAGCATCAAGAAATTATTAGGAGAAAGGTTCATTGTATTGCGTGGGCAGAATACTGTCAGATTTCCCAGGCCTAGACAGGAGAACGACTAGGGTTCTAAACCAAAGCCTTTGGTTCAAGAAACCTTACCGCAAGGTAGCGGAGTTTTGGCACTGAACTATAGAGAGCCCGTAAGGAGCCACCCTCACTCCAAGCCCCCCACCTGGAGGGCCAGGAGACTGAGTTTGCCTGGCCTCCAACCATTGACCAATCTGGTATGAGTGACACTGAAGGTGCAAAAAAGCACCACTAAGCATATCTCAACGGATCACTGAAGCACACAAACCATCGCACCACGTTAAGATCCAGTCTCATCGCGGTAGTAAAGCAAAAGTAGGCGATCACCATCGTCTGTTTCTGCGAGTGCCATGGCCGTGTTGACCAGTTAGTTCACGTTCGTCAACTTCAAGTCTACCGACCTGCGCGTTCAATTCCCCGGTGAGCATCATGATGTTAGCACGGCGATTTTTGCGGAGGTCGGTCAGTTGACCCTAGAGCTCGTCCTTAACTGACACCGGGCTGCAATCTTTGGGAGCGTACGCTGCGATAATGAACAGACAGCGTCTGTTAGCCTCGCGCCTGAACAGTTGCACTGAGGTTTCAAGTCGGATCGCGCAGACTCGACTGTTGACAGCGATCCAGTCTAGTAGTGCGGCCTCAGCATGTGTGCTCAGCGCAGTCCTCACGTCAGCATAACCAGCGGTTTCGGCGGTTGAGTCTCCAGATAGGTGCAAAGTAAAAATGTCATTGGAAATCGCAGACCTTGAAATTAATCGCAGCGTCATGCTAAAGTTCTGTGTCGACCCGTATCTTAGTGGTAACGAGCTTGTCTCGTAATGTTGCGGCGCGGCACTGTTACGGGTACTGTTACTGTTTTACGATAAACCGGCGAGGATGACCGCTTTTCAAGAGCGCATTAGCCAACAGCTCCTGTTCCTCTTTCAGGCAATCAGGGATGCATATTCTTCTTGCGCAATGGAACAAAGCCATGACTAGTGTTCGCTTGTACCGCATTGAAATGAAGCTGGTAAAATGCAGGTACTGCCCAGACCATGTCGGTTTTCGGTAAACATATCGCTTGATGAGACTGTTTTCTCTACGACTAATCAGTACGTTCAAAAATGGGAGACAATTGTTACATGCTACTTCGCTGGTTACTCTTAAATTTGTATGTACACTATTAAAATGTTCCACGAGATGTGCAATCTCTGTTGTTGATGATGAAAACACTAAGATATCGTCCACGTAGCGTTTGTAATAGGAAAGGCGGGAAATTTCTGCACTCATCTTTATTTCTACCATGGACATGAAGGAATCTGCTAATACCGGACCCAATGGACTCCCCATTGCTACACCATCTATCTGGCGGTATGGTGTTTCGAAAGTGGAAACAGATATTTTCAGTGCAAAGTAACAGGGTGTCTTTCAACAGCTCAGTTGGTATTGGAAGAGATAAGTTGGAATGTTCCGCCAAAACATAGCCAGACGAGAGTGGCGAGAGAAGTCCCCACTGTGGCCAAAAAGAAGATCTTTATAGAACTACCGTTTAAAGGTGATTTTGCCACCATGGGGACAATCAAGGGATTAATTTCCGCTGTTCACAGGACTTATTACGCGGCCGAAGCTGTCCTTATTAACCGAACAAACAAAGTGCCTGTTCCCCCAACGATGAAAAGACAAACTTTCGGCGCCATTTCACCCTGCGTTTACCAATTCACTTGTAGCTGCGAGTCACGCTACATAGGCCGTACAGAAAGAATGTTGAATTCCAGAGTAAGGGAACATGTAACTAAGTGGGTGCAGAGTGAAATTATTCAGTCTTCCGCTTCGTCTACCATCTGTTCACGAAAACCACCTGCCTCATCCATAGGTAGACAGTTATTGTCTACTTGTCATCCATTCGACCCTACCACACAGTTCACAATCTTGTTGAGACATGCTAACACCCGCTTCCTACATTTCGCCGAGGCTGTCGCGATCAGCAGGATCAAACCGGAACTGTGTGTGCAAAAACTGTTGTTTGTAAGCTTAACGCTTTCATGGACGTAAGGGTGGCATATCTGTACGCCATCCTGTCTCTATTTTATCCGGTCACACCCTAGCTGTAGATATATATGGTTTCCTGTTATCGTATGGGCACTTACGAGATAATACGAAATGTTAACATCTGCCAGTTTTCGTCTTCTCACAGCGTGGTTTAAAATGCTTAAGCGAAAAATTGTTTCAAACCACTCATGTGTTGTGGAACTGTAATTGATCGACCAATATATATATATATATATATATATATATATATATATATATATAGCACATGTTGGACGACCTGGGAAACACATATCACTGCGATGTCATCTGCGTACTCCAAATCCCGAACGCTGTCAGCCGAAGACCACAGGACTCACAGTTTCCCAAGGAAGCCATCATGATCATGTCTACGGCGAAGTTGAACTAGGAAGGAGAAGCTGAGCAACGCTGTATAACACCACTAGTGGTACTGAGCGGAGGTGAAAATTCGCCGTACAGTCGCAAGCGAATCGATGTTTGACATTAAACGGGACGGAGAACGCCGACGTACCTCTCAGGAACTCCCATCTTCAGCAAGCAGTTGCAGCTCGAATGTCCAAGAACACAAGTACGGTTAATCGACTGAACGCATGGCGATGTTCAGGTACTTGACGGATCGTAAAGAAGTGATCCACGCAACTGCGACCAGGGCAAAACCCAGCTAGCTTTTCACGCATGTGCTACTCCCGTACTAAACTGGGAATCCGCAACAGTAGGGTAGGGAGCAGTTTGCGTGTAACAAAATTGACACTGTTCGCACGATGACTAGAGCAAACAGTTCGGTCTCCCTTATCGTAAACGGGCACGACATGCGCTCAACTCCTAGTAGGATAGCATGGTTTAGGTAGCCCAAATCTGATGGGAGAGGGATGTCAGTTGATGAATGTGCTGGACCCTATCTTGGAAGAGAGACGGAGTAAGTCCATCTGGGCTAGGTGACCTGTCGCGCTTTGGCAGGAAACCTCACCAGGGAGTACTGTGAATCCCGGAAGATGGGCTCGGTTGTGCTGGTGGCCAGCTGAACTGATCTCCGAAGTACTCCGCCTCTCGAACCAGATAACGGTGAGGACCGTTCACCGTCATTAGCAAACTCACTCGCTGTCGGACTTTTGCCTCTCGTGGACTGAATCAGTTGAGTTCGCGAAAATTTCCAGAAAAGACTGCCAGCTCCATCTCAACGACGTGTCGAGTCTCGCGATTTTTTCCGAGAAGCTGTTTGTGCTCAGCACTTATGGTTTTGCACAGTGAGTTGTAGTCAACTCCCGTTGGAATTGCTCGATGGGTTTCCATTAGTTGGAGAGGCTGTGCAGAGATCAACTGACTATCAGCTCGCCCAGTAAAACCACAGACCAGGGTAGCTGACTTTCGCAAGGCACTCTGAATCCGTACCCAATGTGTCGCAACATTAGACAACAGAGGACGCAGGTTAGAGTCTAAGGTGTTCTGAAATGTGCCAAGAACAATTAGTGCGGCTAGCTTGCCTACACCAAGCCGTTTCTGGTGACGTTGTTTGTGCCGCCAACGCGCAGAACGACTTTAACACGCACGAGCGCATGATCCGAAGTCAATTATACGTTCAAAATTGCCTTACAATCCGTTATGCAGTCTCACCAACGGTAATTAATAAGTGCAAGGTAAATGTGCAACCTGATGTTGAGGACGGTGGAAGTAATCGCAGCGTTGAGATACAGCCGTGAACGGATTTCAGTTAGGCAAAAAACATCGATGGAGAGGGTTACACAGTACGTGAAAGAGCAGCTTGTGATCCAACCTGCATAGGTGTCCAAACATCAAAAGCAACCAGGTTAAACAATGAACGGGGTGCAATAAAAGTCGAAATCGGATTGCGTGCGTTCGGTTTCGAGCGGCCATTGATGCGACCAGAGATCTTTCTTTGTAATGCGCTTTTGGAGACTCGAAAAGGAAGGGGTTGATAAGAATATGAGGGTTGCATAAATTTGGAACGAAGAAGGTAGTTTGCGGTGCGGTAGAGTCCAGCATGCCGGCCGCTAGCGCCTAGCCAAAAAGAAAGTGCTGAGAACTGGAAGTGTGGACAGTTGTAAATCCATCATTTCATGTGTTGTGTTGGCATCCAGCTTCCCAAGCCAAGGAAGAGGATTGATTTAGGGGACTCGACCCTGAGCTTTCGGTTATAAGGGCCCGAGCCGGAGCGAAGCCTTGGAAACGAGCCCCTTGGAGGCCGGTGACCGATCGCTCGGTTTATATACCTTTCATTTGGCGGGCTGTCAAACCGGGGCGCGATAGGCCCAGGAACTCAGCGTCCAGCAGTAGAATTACAGTGCTACAGCGTGGCTTACGTGTCTGATGAAGCAAGACCAGAGAGCATGCGGAGGGGCTTTGGATTGACCGCTATGCACATTGTGTTTTCCGACTGTACTATGGTTGATCATCCCTTATGGAGTAGTTTCATCAATGGACCAACTTCCTAACGAAATCGGCTCGTGAGCTAGTAGTGCTTTGACGGTGATCGACAAAACGCGACTGCAAAATTCGGGCGTGCATTCGTTTCGCAGGTAGTAAGACACTCTCAACACCTGGGTCGGGGTGTCCGACTCCAAGTTACTAGCACGACTGGTTCATAAAACGTTGTTAAATCAAAGAATAGGCGCTACAATGGGGTCAAGGTGCGATGCATGAAAACCGAATAATCATGTAGAAGTGGGAGAAGAATGTGGGCAGGATGATGCGAAGACCATTTCTAAACCGAGGCAACGTACACAGTTTTCACAATGAGCCCGTCCCGAATCATTAATATATTGTGTGGCAGAAAGGTTCGGAACGAGGATGAACACATACCTGTTTTTTCCTTGTATATCGGCGCAGTTTCGACTCGGATTCGTTTGACATCACGCTCCATCTGCTCTACACACTGGGACATGTTGTCACCGTACTTTTCGAAAAGTACGTCAGCCATGTTTCCCGCAGTTAGAAAGGCTTTGCATGTCTAGAAAAAGTGATGGGTTAATTAGCATCAGTACGAACATGCATCACGTACCATGTCGATGTTAAACCGAATTTGCCACTGCGGTCTTGCGCTCAGCAAAAAACCGCGATGGATGGAAAGGAGGCTTTCGGGAAGTATTTTTGCAGGGCTCTTATCAAACAAAGAAGCTCGCCCTACGGTTTCAAAGGATCCTTTGAGCGCGGTTTTGAAAACACAATCAAGCAATCGAATGCTATCCTAAACGGAGATAGGTGATCGTTCCAGGTTGTGCTTAAACTCACCTGGGGCATGTTAATAGAGGACGCATAAGGATTCCCTATGTATTCATGTAAGTCCCCGGTGCTAACGAGCTGTACCTTACAAATGCGGTAGCATAGTAAAAGCTCGCCGGAGTTTAACGGATCCTTGATAGTCATTTCAAGGTTGGAGTCTGCAGTTGTGACTCCCGGGATCTCCGAAACGGAGTACACTGTATGTCCGCTATCGTAGATTGTGTCCCGTGGCAATCTGCAGGAAAGAAGGCAAGGACAAAGTACATTTTCAATTAATCAAGCTCTAAAGTACAAATCAAAGGCGTTGAGCAGCTTGGAACATAATGTACCGGAGGAGAGCCAAAGCCAGCATAGAATAAACTTAACTGGAGGCCATGAAGTTGGGAACTTAAATTAAGAGGGATTGGCTAATCTGGATGAACTTCGATTAGGCACTTCGAGGGAAGAAAGTTCAGTCCTTCTGGGAAAGATATAAAGCTATCAATATGCCTTGACACAACGGAACAGCGCAGGTGCCAGTTATACAGAAGTAGGCTTTGGCTTATCTGCACTGAAAATAAACGACCCGTTCTTTACAATGCATTGATATATATATATATATATATATATATATATATATATATGCACAGTCTGTTATCAGATATTGTGCCATCAGAACCATGGCAGAAGAAAAAAGTGAAGAAGATGGGAACATTAATGTGATTAAAAAATATGGGAAACGATTTTTTTGGTTTTACACACGTCATTTTGTATTTTTGTTTTGTTTTTTGTTTTTGTGTGCATCAAAGGTAGGGTAAGATTGTAAAACAATATTGACGCCACTGATGTCTGTTGCGGGCCAAGACGTCTAATGTTTCCAACCCCTGCGATTCAGCATCTCGTGGTCCCCAACCTGGAAGGCGGACTGGTCCGACTGCCGCCAAACTTGAGGTTGCCTTCTTCATACTACTTCTCCACGTCATCGGCTGTCCACTGCGGCACTTTTTCCAATCGCTCCCTGGGAGTGTAAATAGCGCTCGACGTGGAAGGCGATGGGTTGGCATGCGCAGAATGTGCCCGAGCCAACGCATGCGATGTCGGAGAATAACGTCCTGAAGACTGGCACTATTCGACCCAAGCACGCGGTCTCGCACCTCTGCGTTGCTTACGTGTTGCCACCACACCCGAGCAATCCTTCGTAGACAGCGATTGTCAAAGACTGACAGCCGCTTCATATCTTCCGAGCGAATAGGCCAAGTCTCACAGCCGTACAAGAGTACTGCACGGACGGAAGCATTGTACACCCTGCCCTTGAGCTTGAGACTGATATCACGACGACGCCATAGGTGTCTCAGTTTGATGAATGCAAGGCGGGCTTTTGCAATCCGTTGATCGACAGATAGGGTCTTTAGCTAGATCGACGATGTACCCACCAAATCCATGAGGACACGCGCGTAGTGGAACAAGAACATGAGTATGCAGCTGCAATTACCAGTGAATCAGTGCAAGTGGGGAAGGCTCTTGACCCACATCGTAAAATGCACACTAGCAAGATCAACGAAAACAGACGTGATCATGTGAGTTGGTGGTATTCTCGAAACACAAGGTGTGACAACATCTATGTCAAACTATCATCTTCATTATTCGATAGCTACACTGCGGAGACTATCCTGTTCGGCATTTTTACTAATTGCATTCTAGTCACCACAGGAAAAGGTTGCTTCATTTGTGATTGATTGGCAGTTGTTGGCAGAAACCAATGCGTGTGGAGAACGCCGGGGGCATTGCTTCAACTTGCAACTCGTCGTCTACGTAACACTACCTACGCGTGCAACCAGAGCGAGAAATTCATGCGGTTGCTGATATCGTCGACCTCCACGTGGCCTCTTAAAAAACGCAAGCGTAACATAACGGCTCATCGGAATGAACAAACTTACCTCAAGTGCAGTATGGTGGCACAATACAACCGATACCTATGTTCTGTCGGTAGAGAAGGATGAAAACCTAAGATTCAGTGATAGTCTTTCATGCAGGATGACATGCACATCAATCTCGCGTGTCAGCGTTACTAAGATGGTTGGAGCAGCTTGCTTGAGTAGTGGCGAAATTCGAAGTAAGAACATTGGAAAATAAATTAGTTTAAATTTTGCAACACGTCTATAATGGAAGTCGAACCTGCTCTAAACCAAAAGGTGTCCTTCAAACCTGCACTGGCCACGCTACCTGGTCAGACAGTGAAAAAAGTGCAAACTAAAATACCTATCAGACAAAGCAGGGCAATTTATGAAAGTGGTATATCTGTGGTACCAGGGTGACACAGGTAATGCAACACACAAACTAAAAGAGCTAATTCTGCGATGTACGTTCAATGGATAGCTCATATTTAATGGGGCGTAGTACAGTCAGATAGACGGTGTGGCTATGGGGTCTTCTCTCGGAAAGCTTCGTGCGGATATCTTCCAAGCCAAACTTGAACGTGGACCTTTCCAATCAGTTACCTTTTCGCCCGATGCATACTGGAGGTAGATCGATGATACATATATTGTCTGTGACTCAAGTATCCATGTTGCTAGTTTGGTACGTCAGTTCGAAGAGGCGCATCCTTCGCTGTATTTCATCAGTGAGATTGAAAGCGATGGCAAATTAGCTTTCCTGGACGTCTTGCTAAAGAGACGGGTGGATGGATCACTTAAAAGAAGTGGCTTCCGGAAGGCTACATGGGTAGGCCAATACACCCACTTCCTAATTTTTGTACCTTTGAAGTACAGACGAAAGTTTGTGAGCTGCTTGTACTATCATGCTACCAAAATCTGTAGCCCGGAGACATTGGGAAAAGAGAAGGACCGTATCTTTAGAACGTTGCAAGACAACGGCTATCCCGACTCGTTCATCAGAAGACACGCCACGGTCCGTATGCACCAAGAACCCGTCATGACCGCACGGAAGATGTCTTTCCTTCTGTTCCCCTCAAGGTAATGTCGCTTTCGATCTTCTGAGCAGACGACTCTCAAACCTAATTGTTAAAGCCTCCCCAGCCGCCTAATCTCGCGTTCTTGCGCAGACCGCTCCGTTCATCACATAACGTCTTAAGGACAGACTACCAGTTCAGTCCCAATCATTTATTCTGTATCAGTTTGCTTGCACCTGTGGTGTACGATACATTGGGCGCACGAGCAAAAGTCCGTCCAAACGGATAGTAAAGCACTGTTCAGCATCTCTAAGAAGAGGCACTGCCATGAGATACGGACAGAAGATTCCTTCAGTCTTCTACGGTATATCAAAGCAATATCTCAAAGGGCTAAGAAAACGGCTGTTGAGGACGGCGGAAATGATTGCAATCAATATGACTCAACCGGAATTCTGCAAGCAGAGGGCTCTTGTGCAAGCTCCTCTATTACCATGGTCCCGTGGTAATTCCCGTGTTGGACGCTGAAGGCAAATCAGCGTGATCACCACCCCACTAGCTGTCACGAGAATTGACCGAGGTGAATCTACACTAAGATTGATTGATTTTAACAGCATTGTTCAAGTCACTTGCATTAACCTTAGTTCTGCTTTCATTAGCATACTCAGTTCATATACACTTTATTATAAATGTGATGTCTGATGAGTTTTCGATATTGATATTCTTGTTGCTTTACAGAGCAATCAGCTAAGTACGCACATGGGGTCTCATCGGTTAATTTTAATTGCAGCAGTAGTTAGCGGATCGAGAAGGAAAAAACGAAGGAAAGATTCGCACGTCGCAATCTACAGAACGTACTCCGTCAGGAAGCTGTTCATTGATTTGGGAAAATATAGGGAAAAAACACAACCCACTGATAAACTGGGGACTACATATGATTGTAACAGACGCCTTTCAGAAGCTGGTCAACCACTGAGTCACAAATTACGATCTAACCTGGTGAAGGATTTGGTTACATAAAAAGTTAAAGAAGCGAGTATACATATTTCCGCGAGTTTGCAAAAATGGTTATTTTCTGGCAGCACACAGTATCAGGGTCAAAAAAGTGCCAATCAAGAGTACAATAATGTACGCCGGTTTGAAAGTTAGCTTGAAGTGCCAAACATCATGCTAGGTGAGATATATGAAAGCAATGAAAAATCGTGGGTTGAATGTGCGATGCATTTACGGGTGGTAGTGAGTGGCAAACCATGGGACTAAAACATCACAATGTAGCCGACAGGTAAGTAACACAACTTATTGGAGTACACATGGTAGTGGGTTTCGATGGGAATGCATACGTGGCTGAAATTCACTAATAAAAAACAAGTAAGCAAGCAGATAAATGTATGCAGAAATATGTACAAGCAAAAACAAAAGGCAAAATGAACGAAGTATATATATGAAGCATAGATATGCGCCTTGGTGGATAAAGTACCACCAAGAACCGCCGCTTACTTTGCAATGACGTTCACCAGCAAGTTTCGTTTTTCATTTGGTGGCATGCGGAGTTCCCTCTTTCCATCAGTGCCCAGTCGATGTACCGACTTCACTTCCAAATGATAAACGTGCGATACCTTTGGTACCACGCGGAGGTCGTAACAATTCACTGTGAGCTGAACAGGCTGGCCCATTGTTCCACCGCCGTCTGGTCGAGAAGGAATGTGAATTGTTCGAGCCAACGCTCTAATGCTCTCAACCCTTTCAGAAGGAAGGAGTGGAAGGAACGAATGGAATTCACTTCTGAATATGTAAGAATGAACAGGAATGCTCAGTGCCAGACAAGAGATGGGAATCTGTGCGCAAGTAATTTGAAAAGCGCGCACAAACCGGACATTAAGAATTGCAGGGCGTACGTTACTCATCATCAGCATCATCATCATTAACAACAAAAGCAGCACAACAGCCACTGGAACTGATGCATCGCTGTCGTACAACCATGGTGACCTGCGGAACAAAGAATAATAAGAGGAGAGATAGCTTAAAATTTCAATACCCCAAACAAACAGGGTAAAGGCGCCTACACCTCGTGTCAACAACATACCACCAAAAACAGTTGGCTATCATGCAAAGATAAGGCGGCATTGGCGAGACAGCTTCCTCGCGGCTTTCACTGTCCCGCGTCATAATAAACCATTACCCTGAAGGCACCAAACACGCCTTAAACAGACAACTTGATTAGACGACAGTAGACTGCGAGCCAAGTCCTGTAACCTCTCAAGCGAAGCATAGAGCAGGTCACGTGGGCTCCATCCAGGAACAAGAAACACCCGAACCGTACCCAGTTCGACCATCACTGACCCCACTTCCCGCTACCAAGTTAACTTCTGTTCACCTAGGGCCTTGTGCCACCCTACATCTGGCAAACAAAACAACGCCCTCCTAGATAAAGGGTGACCGGGCATACGCAGTACGTGCCCAAGACAACACAACTAAATCAGTTCTAAGAAACGATTCTGAGCATCACTACTTAGCACCCGCCAATGCATGTTATCGCTGCTGACACGCTGGTGCCATCCCACACATGCAATCCTTCGCCAACAACGAGTGTTAAAGAATTGAAGGCGCTGCAGGTCCTCAGATAGAAGGGGCCAAGTATCACTTGCATATGACGGCCCTTAATGGAACCTTGCAAACACAGACATTCGGAGAGAAGGGAACCCGTTTCTGACCCCAGAGATGTTGCAGATTAAAGATGGAAGTTCTGGCGTTTGCGAAGCGTAGAATAACTTCAGCGGTTTTGCGTCTATCGTTGTCAATGCAGCCGCCAAGGTAAGTGAAATGGTCAAGTACCTCAAGTTCCTCGCCGTCATGAGTCAAGGAAACATCAAGTGGCTGGTGGCTCATTAACAACACATTGAAATTTGCAGGTGCGAAGCGCATGTCATGTGACAAGCCCACTCCAGGAGGGTAACTCAGGGTTGAATGTGCCGCCCAAACATCGGTGAAAAGCATAATCAATATCAACTAGCCTCTCATCATGCAGCTCATCAACGCCTGAATCGTGAGATTCCGCAGGGGAACACTTCATAACAGGGTCACCACGACAAAGCTGAACAAAAATGGAGAAGTAAAGGATAAAATAGGCTTTATACACCTAAATAGGTGCATTATCAGCATTTACACAATCACAGCGGACACACTGAAAGAGAGACCAGTTAAAAATACATAAACACAGATGAAAGAATTAAATAGTCAAAGGTATGTGAAGTCTTCTAAATACCGGCATACCCAAAGCCATTGTGACCTTAATAAGGTCGACAAGAAAGCGTGACAAACGAAACAAGATTTGGTTACGATATCCGGAAGTGCGAGAGAATAAAAACCTAAATTTTGAGCGTATGTGAGAGAGAGAATCCTTCTGCGAAAGCGTTATGCAGCGGATGAAAATATACACCTGGATCCTTGGAATAAAAATTCATTAAAGGTCCAAAAGATTTCGAGCGATAAATTCTATTATGGGATCGTTCGGCTAGCCACCCAGTTTGAAAATGTGAATTTTGGATCGCACAATCGAAACATTGTCATTTCCCAGTAGCCCAAAGAAGATTACCGGGGAACAGCACAACCAGTTAAAGTTTGTCAGATGAAATGTTCCCTGAGCTTGGCAATTATTTTGCAAACGTCTCATCACCAGTTAAGGTGACATCATCAGTGCGCTAGTGTGTAGTGCAGTGTTTCGTAGCGATGCGTAGGGAAGTGTGAACCGGAGAGTCATGCAGTACCTTTTTATAAGTCATCCACCATCGGCCATTTGGGCATGTGACTCTCGAAAATCGCCACTTAGACCCGTACCTCGTGACCACGGCCCGTTTGTCTCCGCTACGGGAATCCTGCCTGAGTTGTTGGTATGGCGCCATTTTCCAGTGAGGTTATTCGACCGCGGTGGTAGTCCTTTGCTCGTAGATTTGCGTAGATGGCGTCCAACTCAACGTGCCGATTGATCGAATTCTTCGTGGAGTGCCATGCTTCTAAGAATTCTCTTGCCTGCTTCGTATTCCCATGTGCTAGAAATTTTACGTTCTCCAGCTCAAAATGATGACCAGCTTCATCCTCGTGTATCGAAACCAATGTATAGGGGTCATGTTCTGTGATCCGGGTGGAAAGTTTGCTTTCCGTTTGTCCGATGTAGTGTTTATCACATTCGCTGCAGTTTATCCTGTAGATTACATGGGTTTGATTCCCTTGTTTGATTTTGTCCTTCGGTCTTGAAAGTATCCCTCTTAGCGTAGCATTTGCTCGGTGTGGTACGGTGACTGTGTCGATGTACTAATCGTGCTGTTAGTTCAGAAACGTTTTTGATATAGTGAAGAACTACCCGTTTATTTACCTGTTCTGGCCGCTGCTGAAGAATTGTCCTCGTCAGGCTTCTTCCAATAAAGTTTCGTGGATATCTGTTGTTTTTTTATCACACGGTATGGGTGGTTTTCCTCGTTCTTTCTCAATTCGTTTGTGCTACAGTATTTCCGTTCTTTTGAATAGAGTTTGGATACAACTCCTTTTGTGGTTCATCAGGTGGTTACTGTGGTAGTTCGATATTTGATCCGCATGTATTTTCTTCCGATATACACATGTTTGAAGCGTTCCGTCATTGGTCCTATGAACTAAAACATCCAGGAATGGTAATTTGTTGTCTTCCTCTAATTGACTGGGGAACTTGATGTTGATCAACTTCATTGTTGATCAACTCGTCTATGTCTAATGCCATCATAATTTCATTGTCCTCTATACACCTCTAAGTTAGTCAAGGAACTGTTTAGCATTGTTTATACTTTGCTCAGATCCGGTAATCTGGGGTTTTAATTTCCTCCAAAGGTGGTCCTGGTAGCAAGACGACTGGACGAAGTTAAACCCATTCCTTGTGTATCTTCGGTAGCCCGTAGAATTGTGTAGTATTGCCGTCGCCGGCTTTCATCTTCCATTGTTCTTGGCTTGTGATTTCATTTGTTGATTGCAGTTTCTTTAGGGTTGTGTTGATTCAGGTGACTAGTTTTGAGCTGGGGTCCTGATGGAAGTGGCGATGAGTAGTTGTGTTGGATAGAAGTTGCTTGGCCTTTTCAATATAATCCAGGTTATGCAATATCACCGCTTTGCGTCTTTTGTCCGCTGGAAGGATTACGACAGTTTCTTCTCCCTGCAGCTTCCGGAGCGCAACTTTTTATTTTATGGGAAGAGCTTGTATCACTTGGTTTTGGGAAATCATTGGAAAGATTTTTTTGGCGAATTTGCTGCTGAGCTTCTTCTGACAGGCCGTTTGTTTTCAGAACATATTCTAGACTAGCCAAATAATCCTTGTTGGAAGCATCCCTGACGTTAAATTGGAGTCGTTTGATTAGCACAACCTTTACAACCGTATTGAGTGTGCGATGTAACAAGTTCCGGATCCATTCTTCGCTGTTGACATGGTCAATTTTCTTGAGCGGCGTCTTTCCAAGATAGCGCCTAATGCTGATTTACGCTTGGTTTCCGTGTTGTTAACTCGACGTTGGATTGTGGATTCAAACTCCGCGTATTTCTCAGAACGAATGGCAACGCTAAAGCCCAGGCATCTGGATGGTTTAAGGCCGGGCTGTGATTCGTATTTGGTGGGAGAGCAGCTGATAATATCCCCTAGACTGGTGACAAAATGTTCGTAAAATAAATAACAGTCTCAGAGAACAGTTCATAAAGATGCCCGGGCTTTAGCGAGGCAGCATGGGAAACGTATGGTCAAAGTGATGATAAAAGATGCCCACCATCTTCACAAGTATGAAAAAGCCATAAATGATGGAAGAAGTAACTTGCTCGTTGCCATGGATCCCGAGAAATGCGCAGAGCTGGGATCCGAAGCAGTATTGCATAAATTGGAGCGCACTACCATGCCAATGATCAAAGTAAAGCTTTGGATCTGATATCTTGACGATACATTTGACATAATAAAACGAAATTCGGTACACTATGCCCACGAGTTGATCAACAATGAAGTTGATCAACATCAAGTTCCCCAGTCAATTAGAGGAAGACAACAAATTACCATTCCTGGATGTTTTAGTTCATAGGACCAATGACGGAACGCTTCAAACATGTGTATATCGGAAGAAAATACATGCGGATCAAATATCGAACTACCACAGTAACCACCTGATGAACCACAAAAGGAGTTGTATCCAAACTCTATTCAAAAGAACGGAAATACTGTAGCACAAACGAATTGAGAAAGAACGAGGAAAACCACCCATACCGTGTGATAAAAAAACAACAGATATCCACGAAACTTTATTGGAAGAAGCCTGACGAGGACAATTCTTCAGCAGCGGCCAGAACAGGTAAATAAACGGGTAGTTCTTCACTATATCAAAAACGTTTCTGAACTAACAGCACGATTAGTACATCGACACAGTCACCGTACCACACCGAGCAAATGCTACGCTAAGAGGGATACTTTCAAGACCGAAGGACAAAATCAAACAAGGGAATCAAACCCATGTAATCTACAGGATAAATTGCAGCGAATGTGATAAACACTACATCGGACAAACGGAAAGCAAAGTTCCCACCCGGATCACAGAACATGACCCCTATACATTGGTTTCGATACACGAGGATGAAGCTGGTCATCATTTTGAGCTGGAAAACGTAAAAATTCTAGCACATGGGAATACGAAGCAGGCAAGAGAATTCTTAGAAGCATGGCACTCCACGAAGAATTCGATCAATCGGCA